AGAAAAGAAATGGCATCACCTAAACTAAAGGCAACAGGGGCAGGACGGTTTATGAATGGACTGCAGTAGCAGCTGATGTGCACCTAGAGGCTGTCAAAGGACTCTAATGAATGTAAATAGGCTCATTGGGTGGTAATTGCTTAATTAGATTACTTTTGAAGGGTTTATATACACATTCTCACATGGGTTAGGTTAGGTAATAGTAGTTCAGGTGGGGAGCTGCGTCAGCATGCGTAGGCTGTAAAGGAACAAGTAATAGGTTTATTCCATGCTGAAAAAAAGAAGAAAGAGAACACAACGTTTGAGGTGTGTTCAGGTGTGACACCTGAAGAAGGCTTCCTTGGCCAAAACGTTGTGTTCTCTTTCTTCTTTTTTTCAGCATGGAATAAATCTATTACTTGTTCCTAGGTAATAGTAGTTCAGGTGAATAGCTGCGTCAGTATGCGTAGGCTGCAAAGGAGCAAGTAAAGGTTTATTCCATGCTGAAAAGATAAGAAAGGAAACGCAACTTTTCGGCTATGAAGCCTTCTATGGGTGTAAGAAAGATAGGCATAGCAGGTTAGGTCTTGATGCTAAGGTAGTATATTGTTTCTCTGAAAGTCTCTCTCTGTGTCAGACCTGTGAATGTTGTTGTCAGCTTTTATACGCAGAGATCTTGGGACTGCTCCAGCTAAGTGTTGTGTCTGCCACAGCAATCCTCTTAGGAAAATGGGAAATGATCCAGAACCTTGTGGGACACAGAGCATGTGTGAGCTCTTTCTGCAGAGACCCCTATAAGCTCACCTACCTGGGAGCAGGAAAGGCAACTCTGGGGGTTGCATGGTTTCTGCAAAGAAGAATTGACAGGGGTGAGAGGGCATGCATTTTCTGGAAACATGTCACAGAAACATGTACTTCAAGTTACCAAATACTTAGAGCTAGATTCTGAAAACAGCAGGCTCTTCTTTATTTCAAGAGCTGCTTTGCAATAAAACCACAGAATCACAATGTAGTCACATTGATTCCCTGGGATCTATTAAGGTTTTGGGACCAATGAGCTGCTGAACTAAGCCAGGCTGGATGAATGAGTTTTTCTGTGATGTTCTGCTCTGTTCTTGTCCAGTTTGACAAGAGAG